GAGAAACAGGTAATTGTTAGGAAGGGAAATCTCTACAATATGGCTCACGAAACGCTACAAATCAGAGACCAGGTCGTTAGAAAAAATTTTTCGATTCCAATGAATGTTCTGATGTCCGAGTTTATTTTTCTGGAAAGCAAGGCTTTCTTTGCTAAAGAAACGTGACACAGATATTGCGAAGTGCTTGTAATCGGCATTAATTCAACCATTCTGTGTCTCTTGTTTATAGGTCACAATATAACAAGAATAGTACCCTCTTCTATTAGAGTAATATTAGATCCGGTAAAGTTCTCGGAAGAAATCATACTGACACTCCGAAGACCCATGGTCATTATGGTGGTGTTTCGTTCTCTGTGCTGGATGTTTTGCTTGCGGAGCTTTCATTATTCTTCTGAACAACATCATCAGCACAAACTTCTGATAGAAGTGGAGCATTCGAATTTCTCCACCTTTGACCTGTAGCTTGTTCTGCTAACCTGAATCTTGATTGGTTGCTGTTGACCTTGAACCTGTCAACGTTTGCACCTTTGTTTTGATTGTATCCCCGTTTTGATCTGCTTCTTGATCCTATGTCACCCACGATTTTTCTGATTGGTTGATAAATTGGGTCAATTTCTATGTGTTTTTTTAGTGCTGACTGACTTGAGTGCTAAGCTTCTAAAAATTCCCGAGTGTTCTTTGTCGTTCTCCCATCCGGTATTTCCACATTTTTCGAATCGAATGTTTATCCATAATTGCCGGTGTGTATTGATATAAGCGAAGAATTGTCGTGGCGTTTGACTGCTGATCGGTGTTGACGCAAACGAAGCTGAAGAGGCTGTCCTGTAACTAATCAGTTATATTGATGTTACTTTATTTCGTAAATCCAAGTAATTTCAGACAGTTTAGTTCTTTTGAATCTTCTCCATTCATAGGATTATTAGCGCGTTCTTTATCTTATCAGTAATTTGTCTTCATTAACCCACAGAGGTGCTGGTGCACAGTTAGGTTCCAATTATGGAAAAAGAGAAGGTTGAGTAATCATACCTTTTTCCAATCCAAAAATATTATCTGCTGAATCGTTACTCAACTTTAAAAAAGAATAATTTTTGCTCTGCCCTCACCCCTTTCTCTTTATTTCTCTTTTTGAGCATTTCTTCATGCCCCTTAAATATTAGCTTGGATAACTGCAGATGACTTGGTTACTTTACCTACAAATATTTCAAATTATTATCTGATGGGTCTCTACAAGATGATTACATATTTACCTCATCACTTCTTGTTACATACAGACCTGGATTTAACTTACATTGATTGTCGACCAGCAGTGGTTCGTCCAAGCTTAACCGAGGTAACTAGCGCCTACTATCCATTGTACATCGAAGTGTATGAAACATTATCAACTATTGTATGTGAAAAATTCTAGCGATCTATAAGAAGCCTATGTACCCTTTGAAATATTTGTGTAACTGAAAAACCTTTTATAGAAAGTATATTGGCGGATTCAACATTTTGATATTGTCCGTAAATTGGCATGCCTCTCATAACATGTCATTTGAGAATAAATTACTAAAATCAATACACACCCGAAAATAACCCGTCATGATGGTATACGGTATAGAGTACACAAATCACGAGGTTTAGTGGAGACTATATTGAAAGACGTGACACCTCACAATACCCAACTATCCGATATGGCAGAATGATGAATGTCCTACTTCAACACGAATGACAGAAAATATGCCGGTCACCTCCAAGTAATAAAGCCGAGGAAAGTACGTTTATTGAGGTGACGTTGCAGCTAACACATCGGCGGTGAGATAGAGCATAACTGATGGAGACTTTGACATACTGCCGCTAAATCTCACAAAGCAGAGTACAACTCCCAAAAGCCGATTGTCGTAGCCGTTAAAAGTTCGCTACAGTTTAAACATGTCAGTGACGCCACTGGATGCAGTAAGCATAGAAACCCCTCAAACTTGTATTACTTGCTAACAAATGATCAGCTCCCAGCCCAAAATGTCCACGTCTACACACCAATAGCAAATAGCGACTATGATTCAGTCATGTTTACTGGAGTCAGAAGGAATTACTCTGGTGACACGAGAGTGCCCCTACCTTCACAAAACTGTTAGAAACTACACGACCGTGAGAGAGCATCTTATAAAAGTCCACTGGCCACCAGACTGGTGGATGATGAAAGTAGATAATCACTGGAGTTAAGTAAGGCACATAATTACAAAGTTGTCTCACGCAATGTTTTCTAGAGAAACCACATATGCACAAAGAGAAAACCGTGGGTTAGGCGAGGTAATAATTCCTGCTAAAGACAGAAAGGAGAGCCTGACACAAGTAGATTTTGCTAAATCATTCAAATGGTAATTTTTATTTGGCATGTGGATACAGATGCAACGTCAAAGTTCGAATAGATAGGAGACACTTACAAAAGAAGCAAGTAGCCAAAATACGACCAGCTTAGACAAGTCCTTGAAAGTTTCACTTTCAGGAGTTACTAGAAATTTTTCCTGAGTAGCGTCATCGGCATTTATTTTCATCCGGTTATACACTGGTACTGAACAAAACGATTTAGTTCTGAATGAAATCATGTGAATGTCATGTATGTTTATAAGACTGATATAATTGTCAAGACGATTAAACGCTTCGCAGAATATGACGACAGCACAATACAGTTTGTTTTTAATATTCTGTTACCTCTTTTACTCTTCGAAGTGTTGCTGATTACTTTACCTTCCTTGCTTTTCACTGGTCGTTCCGGTTTACGATAGTTCCCGGCGAGCTTCTTTGTAGTTTCGTACAATTGTCTCAAGTTTCCGTCTATTGGAGCCTTTTCCGCCGTCATTGCTAGATCTTCCACATATTTTCGTTTGTCAGCTTTGATGCTCTTCTTCACTTCCCTGTTTGCTTCTGTGTATGCAGCTTGTGCGGTAACTTTCTCTGCTCCTGTTCGGCTGACATTGATTGCTGCCTTCTTGTTCCTCCTTTCTTCTATTTTTCCAAGAGTACCAACAGAAATCCATTCCTTGTGATGGTGCTTCTTGCGACCAAGGACCTCCTGACATGTTGAAGTGATTGCCTCCTTAATCCCTTTCCAATTGTACTCCAATGTTGCTTCCTCTCCATTGAGTAGATCCTGCAAGGCCTGGAACCTATTGGTAAGGGCTATCTTGAATTCGTTGAGCTTAACAGTATCCCGAAGAAAGGCCGTATTAAACTTGTGTGATGTTGTCTGTCCCGTTGTCCAGTGCTTCTTTAGTTTCAGTTTCATTTTGGCGATCAGCAAATGGTGATCTGAGGCTATATCAGCTCCTCTTTTGGTTCTCACATCCTCCATGGTCCTTCTGAATGTTTTGTTGATACAGATATGATCAATCTGGTTTTGAGTAGTGTGGTCCGGTGAAATCTATGTGGCTTTGTGTATGCGTTTGTGCGGGAATATTGTGCCACCGATGACCAGTTCGTTGAAGGCACATAGGTTTGCAAATCTGTCACCGTTTTCGTTTCTTTCTCCCAGTCCATGTCGTCCAATGATGTCTTCGTATCCAGTGTTGTCCATTCCAACCTTCGCATTCAGGTCTCCCATAAGAATCGTCAAATCCTTTGGTGAACATTTCTCAACGATTGACTGCAGTCGTTCGTAGAATCAATCTTTAACGTTGTCATTGTAGTCATTGGTAGGTGCATAACATTGGATGACGTTCATTGTAATGTCCTGTTTCTTTGTTTTGAAGGATGCTTAAATGATCCTGGGTCCATGAGATTCCCATCCTATCAGTGCCTCTTGTGCATGTTTGGACAGCATCAGTGCAAATCCTTGTGTACGTGAAGCGTTCTCCTCTTCATGACCAGAGTATAACAGCAGTTCTCCAGAAGCTATTCTCAGTTGTCCTGCCTGTGTCCAATGCGTTTCACTGTTGCCAAGCACCTCGAGGTTGTATCTTTTCATTTCTGCAGCAACTTGAAATAGTCTTCCAGTCTCCCACAATGTACGAACGTTCCATGTACCTAAAAAATGGTTGCTCTGGTTGTCAGAAGAGGCATCGGCCGCGCGACTTCCGAGGGAACTCGGCTTTCATCACGTGACGTCATAATTCTTCTTCCAACTCCCAGGGCAGAGTTAAAATGGTTTGATTTATTTTTTCTGGGTAGCGTTTTTTTGGCAAGTTAGATTTCGACGGAATGGGGTCGCCAACCCCATGTCCAACCCTCCTCCTTTACCCGGGCTTGGGACCGGCAGTAGCCCCGAAGTTTCTACTGGCGGAGTTTGATAGGGCACAGTTATATGTAATATGGTTTGTGTGACCTGCTGGAAGTACACGCAGTCAGAAGAATCCTGTGCATATATACACGATAGGTTATTGTTAACTAATTTTTCCGGTTATGAATTTAAATATATATATATTATCCCTGTTTCCTCTCCCTTACTTACACTTCAGTTCTCTCTCACAATCTTCACTACCAATTATTAAACAAAATTATCTGTTATTTACTTAGTTCTAAAATCCTCATCTTATTAGCAGTAGAATTTTCTTCTTCTTATTCTCCACATTGCAACTGACTGATCTCCAGTCTGGTAATGTGATAGCTGCTGGTATCCGGAAATCCTACTGCATTGAAACAAACATTTTCATTCAAATCACGGGACATACAAACTCACAACTGCCAACTGACTAGAATTAGATAGTCGAGTGGCTAGACCTCCATCCATCGGACATTACCGAACACCTGGAACCGTACTGAAAGAACAGGAATCGAGCGCGAAGAAATCAAATTGGTTTACACTAGCTCGTGAAAAAGATATTGGATATTGGATAATAGTTTGACCTTCTGGGACCTAGCAACCTTAAACAATGGAAGATGCCTCTAGATCTTTGCCCGTAAATGTAATCCTGAGGATAAATGTCTCGGTCTTTTAATTCGGGGTGAAAAAGTACAAAAGTCATCCTCAATGTCTCTCAAGTTTGACAGTAAAATATAGTTTCATCGAGGTCTGCATCGTAAACATGTCTGCCAGTTTGTGGGATGATTCTGATTCGGACGACAACTTGCCAGCTGAATGGGAACAAACTTATCAGGATAATTTCGTTATTTACTACAAGTAAGTTGGCATGAGACTGTGTTTGATAAATTTACAACGTCTTACGTTATATCGTTACTTGTGCTGTTAATAATAAATTGTAAACGTAGCTAATATGAAACCTATCCGTTTACAACCATCCGTCAGTTATAAGTTGCCAAATGCGGACTTTCACCTAACTGAAATAGGTCAATCATTTTCTCATTATCTAAACAGTCATGACATTTCACAGGACCTTCAGTGTATTAAGTAGTAGTACTGGGTAGTAAATCAATTTCATAGGAATATCAAACCGATTGTTTGAAAGACTCCCTAAATGTCCTGACACGGCTGAGCGTATGGAGTCTACTACCCTTTAGGAATGCTCCCGCGTAACTGCTACCAGGAAGGCCCTACTCGCTGTGGGGATGTTTACGAAATCGAGAGGCCAAAGAGCGGATTTCCGGCTATTAAACTGGGCCGGTGGCTACGTAGAATCCACCCAAGGGAGTCGATCTTTTGTTGGTCGTCAGCTTCCATGGGATCACTTCCTTACGTCACTTCACTGTCATGTAGATACGACCTGTAGATTAAAGGCTCGATGATTAGCTCCCCTAAGAAAAGCACCTGTTTCGTTTATGGGCACCCAAGTGCAATCTCGGCCCAGACATAAATCCAGCAATTCGTGTGGAGCATATTTATTTTGGTGTCCCTTTGTACCAATGTTTGTGTATAAATAATTGTATTTATTACTAGTGAGCATCCGGAACATGCATTGTTGCCTAGGGTAGTCAGGAAACAGTGCATTTTTTCAGCGTCTTCACTAGTAATAAAGAGCGAAGCAGTTGAGCGTGTTGACTGCTTCACTTATCTCGGGAGTGTCATCAGTACTGATGGCCTAGTGACTGACAAAATCTCAGCACCGGTACAGAAGGCTCGATCGGCTATTGCCAACTTTCGTCACTTATGGCCTAGGCGAGATACCCGTCTGCTAACTAAAGGACGAGTGTACTGCGCATTAGTTCTCTCCATCCTACTATATGGATGAGAAACATGGCCGGTAAGAGTAGAGGTCATTCGTAGGTTATTAGTATTTGATTATATATGTCTTCGAATCATTACTCATATATCCTGATATAGCCAATTAAGCAATGCTATAGTTTGAAAACGATTATTAGGTAGGGATAACAGATCAATAGATGAAGTAGTGAAACTTCATCAGTTGAGATGGTTTGGACTTGTGCTGCATATGCCCAACCACCGACTGCCTCGAGACGTGAGGCGAAAGTCACCGATGGTTAGAGACGTCGAACATAGCTCAATATCGTTCGTAGTGGTGAAGGGGGATCCTCTCGTTGTGTTCTCAAATTCTAACCTGAATTCCTCATTTCTATCTTTCTCCTTCTAAATATACCCCACCGAATTATACTTTTCAAACATATCATCTAACCCTAATCTTCCTCATCATCAGTAATACTTCTACTAACGCTACCTATATCGGATCTGAACTGACAGTGGCGTCTCTATGCTGGTGCGGTATGGTAACCTAAACTTATGTACTCTTGTACAAAGTTTAACGTTGTAACTGAATGACTGAAATAATTATAATAAATAATGTATCGAAAGTGTAGCCATAAATTGAGTATCACTGCAGTACATATATAATTATATTTATAAAAATCCAGTGTCAACATGTAATCCCATTTGTTTTATTTGTGCAGTCGGTTGACTAGGCTTTCGCAAAAGACTCATCCTATTTCAGGCCGTATTAAGCAATTACCATCTGTGTTACCCAAAAGTTGGTCTTCTTGCCCCGACAAATCTGGAAAAACAGTTTATTTAAAGTAAGCATTTTTGAGAATGTGTACTAGTTTTATTATTTGAATACTAACCAACTTTTGCCGGTAATATAATCCGTTTCTCTGTATTTAGTATCATGCATGTAAGTTTTATGAAACTAGTTGAACTAATCAACAGGCGTTGAGAGAGTTGAGTCGAGTATGCTGCAAAGTGCTGACTTCTTAGTTTCTGATAACTCTAAAGGTGTAAACTGGGGTAGCGACAGACTTGGCTGTTCTTAGCAGCCGAATGTGTGAATTATATGTATCGCTTTCTGTTGGCAATCAATCTCTTTGTTTTCAAAACTTGTTTGGTTTTAGCTACTAGTGTGTAATCAGCTCACAACCTCTTGTGTGTAAGTGTCTCACTGCCATGTTCTCAGTTTTTTGACTAGCAGTTCTTTTCATAGCTGATTCAATACTCATTGGTATTAAACAATGTGAATGTACTTGTCTTCTGAACCTCATAAGTACTGGTCACTACATCAAATTTCGGTATGTACGGAGCAGAAAGCAGCAAAGTACAATACATATAGTCCACAAACACTGTTGTTCTCGTTTTGATATAGAGATTCATATTAGGATGTTTCTGTAGGCTATGTGGTTAGGTTGTGTGGCACTGATTGTCTTTTTAAATAACTTCATTATTACAATTTCATATGAAAACAAGTCATTGGGATTACTTGACGAATGACTGACAGCTTGTTTCGTCAGCACTAGCTTTCCTTAACACCATTTACTATCTGCACATTTATTTTGATAGTCTTTCCAGTTGACATAATTGTTGGCTTAGAGTTAATATTTTCACAGTTGACTTATAAACTGGGTCTATTTCAATATATTTATTGATTACAGACTGCACTGTGTTCCAGAGTACTATAAATTCAGCCGTCTTATTTGAGCTACCTGACCAAGTTTCTAGAACAAAGATACGCTGCAGCGCTCAACACCTGGTTGCTGTTTATGGAGATGAGGATAAAGAAGTGGACCCCCTTGCCCGATGTAGTATCCCCCTTTGTTCAGATACCGAGTACCTTCTCCGGTTCGGGTATTCGGGCAGTATCTCAGCTGACACAAACTCATTGATGCGTAGCGCATAAATATTTAGGTGCCCTTTGTACCAATACTTAACTAACAATAATCATGGAAGTAATGACTAATAGTAATAATTCCACTTTATCCCTGTTACCCCAAGGGACGCATTTGGCCACCGACCAACATTCTCCAGTCTACTCTATCCTGGACCTTGTTTTCCAGTTCTACCCAATTGGTTTCCATCCTTCTCATGTCTGTCGCCGATTCTCGACGTAATCTGTTTTATGGTCTTTTCCTTTGGTTCTGAGGATTTCAAGTTAGGGCTTGTCTTGTGATGCAGTTGGGTACCTTTCTCAATGTGTGTCATATCCACCTCCCGAGTTCCTTCCTTTTTTCTTCGTCTACTCGAATCTAGTTTGTTCTCTCCCACATTAGGTTACCGTTGATGGCATCTGACCAACGGATCATTGTTACCTGGCGTAGACAACTATTAATAAACACTTGTATCTTCCGGATGATAGCCTTCGTGGTTCTCCAAGTTTCCGCTCCATACGGTAGGACTGTCTTGATATTTATATTGTAAATTCTGACTTTGGTAATGGTTCATAGTTGTTTTGAGTTCCAGACGTACTTCGATTTGAGAAGTGTTACCCTTGCTTTGCCGACCTCTACCTTCACATCTGCATCAGATCCACCTTGATCATCAATGATGCTGCCCAGATATGTAAAGGATTTTACATCCTCCAAAGCTTTTCTAACAAATATGATCTAGTTGTTGCAAGTTGTGTTGTATCACAAGTTCTTGCTTCTTCCTTGTGTATGTTGAGACCTATTTCTACAGAGGCTATTTCTGAAGTGTCCGTTTCCATATGCACTTGTTGTTACGTGTAGGATAGAAAAGCTAGATCACCTACGAAGTCCAGATCTTCCATCTGCATCCTAGCTGTACACTGTATACTGTGCTCCTCTCCAGATGTTGACATCCTTATAATCCCGTCGACCACCAGGAGAAAGAGAAAGTATGAGTAAGCAACCCACATTGACACCGGTCTTCACCTCAAACGGGTTTGCCAGCTGACCTCCATGTACGATTTTGCAGTTTAATCCATCATAAGAACTCCGTAGTGTCGACTACCCTTTCAGGCATTTCGAACTATCGAAGTAGCCTCCATAGTGTGATCCTGTCCATGCTGTCGAATGCTTTCTCGTAGTCAATGAAGTTGATGTAGATTAGTGAATTCCATTCAATTAATTGTTCGACAAGGATCCGTAGTGTCGCGATTTGGTCGGTACATGAGCGTTCCATTGAAAACCCAGAGTGTTGATCTCGAATTCGGGCTTCTATTGAATCTTCCATTCGGTTTATCAACACTCTGTTGAAGACTTTTCCCGACTTTGAGAGAAGATTGATGCCTGAATAGTTTTTACACTTGCTGAGATCTCCTTTATTCAGTGTTTTGATGAAGTGTCATGTTTCCGAGTCTCTCGGCACTCTTTCTTCTTCCAAAATCTTGCTAAACAGAACGTGAAACATCTTCGTAGTTACTGATATATCTGTTTTCAATGCCTGTGTTGGTATGTTGTCTGAGTGAGCTGCTTTACCACTTTTCATTTGTGTGCTGGGCATGTTGATCTCTTCAATTGTTGATGGGTCAACTTTAATCGAGAGGTGAGTAGTCACTGCTTCGATATTAGGCCTGGCTGGTCGACTCAAGAGGTCCTTAAAGTGCTATGCTCACCTGTTTTGTTGTTCCTAAATGTTGATGATTACTTTGCCTTCCTTGTTTTTCACTGGTCGTTCTGGTTTACGACAGTTTCCAGAAAGCTTCTTGGTTGTATTGTACCGTTGTCTCGGGTTTCCTTCTCGTGCAGCCTTTTCTGCCGTCATTGCCAGATCTTCCACATATTTATGTTTTTCGGTTCTGACGCTCCTCTTCACCTGCTTGTTTGCGTTTGTATATACCGCTTGTGTCCTGGCTTTCTCTGCTCTGGTCTGACTGATATGGATTGCTGTCTTCTTGTTCCCCCTATTTCGAATCTTATCTAAAGTATCCACTGTGATTCATTGTGTGATGGTGCTTCTTGTGGTGCAGGACCTCATGAAATGTTGAAGTGATTGCTTACTTGATCCCTTTCCAGTTGTTCTCCTTGGTAGTTTCCTCTCCACTAAGTAGATCATGCAGAGCCTGGAACCTCTTGCTGAGGGCTATCTTTAATTCGTAGATTTTGCCAATATTCCTAAAGGGGGCCGTCCTCCAGATTCTGTGTTGCGTGATCCGATGAAACCCAAATAGCTTTGTGTATTCGTTTGTGTGAGAATATGTTACCGTCTATGACCATTTTGTTGAAGGCACATAGATTTGCGAATCTCTCACTGTTTTCATTCCTTTCTCCCAGTCCATTTTGTCCCATGATGTTTTCATGTCCACTGTTGTCGATTCCAACCTTGCCGTTTAGGTCCCCCATCAAAATGGTTAAGTCCATTGTTGGGCGCTTATCGACAATTGACTGCAGCCTCTCATGGAATTGATCTTCAATATACTCATTGTTATCGTTTGTAGACGCATAACACCGAATGATATTGATTGTGGTTCCCTCTTTCTTTGTTTTGAAGGATGCTTTGATGATCGTGAGTGCATGAGATTCCCATCCTATCAGTGCATTTTATGTTTCTTTGGACAGCATCAGTGCGACTCCTTGTGTTTGTGTGGCATTTTCCTCTTTATGTCAGGAGTACAACAGGATCTCTCCTGGAGCTAATCTTTTTTGTCTGTCTTGCGTCCAATAGATTTCGTTTATTCCAAATACCTTCTAGTTGTATCTTCTCATGTCCAGTGCAACTTGATTCGTCCTTCTGGTTTCCCACAATGTGCGAACATTGTATGTACCTGGTTGTTAGAATGGTCATTGTCCTCATGCCTTCCGAAGGAACTTGGCTTTCATCATGGCACGCCCTAACTCAGACTTTTCAACACGCTATCCTCTGTGCTGATGTGGTATGGCAACCTGAACTGATGTACGTATGTACGAAGTTCTGCGTTGTATTTGTCTTTCTGTCTGTCTGGGCAGAGTTTGGATGGTTTCAATCATTCTTCTGGTTAAAGATATTTTAGTGATTTGATTTTCTGAGAGATGGCGTCGCTACCCCTATGCCTAACCCTCCTTCATCTGGTCTTGGGATCGGCAGTGACACCAGAGGTATTTCAGGCGGAGTTAACTAATAATAATAGCTACGTCTAATTATTCAGTCGGTAAATTTGTCCGACCGGTTTGATTAACCCCATTAACACATATCATTTGGGGTTATTTTATGCTACTTTTTGCGTCCATTTCTGTATTTATACACTAATATTGGATAAGAAACTGACATTATAAATAACGTCGAATCCTATTCACACTGAAAGTATTTGAAATGTCATACATTCCTTAATCATTCATGAATGTAGTCAATACAATTAACGTTATTATTATCTTTATTGCTTGGAAATACTTGGACTCAGGTTACCAGTGTTTTGAAAATAAAGTTCGGACGAATTCTACACAAAATGTTTCCATTAATTCTCTATTCTTCCTGCTCTCTGAAACAGTTCTGAAACTGGCTGTTCAACTTATTCTGACCCTCGGCTTGCTTCTGCTCTATTAACCCATTCTGCGAAATTAAATAGAGGTACCCAATTTAAATTTGACAAATTCTCAAGCGTTAATGATGTAAGTTGACTTTGTTAATATGATGTATTAACTCAGAATTTAGTTTGTCATAGCCATAATCCATACGAAGCCTAGCAAAAATTTGTTTTGACTAAGGTTGCAATACCACACTACTACGACGAGATGAAATTAACAGAATGAATGGAAAGTAATATAAATAGATAAATAATAATAATGGCTAGAAAGTCTAAACATTGTGAATGTTGTTCCTGAAAACCAAGTAAAAAAGTAGAATTGAAGGAATATTAAAAATCAAGATACATGGGAGGATTGAAAGTTAACGCATCCGCTCACTTTGGTCGATTCTGTCTCAAGGCCTAAATCACTGATTTCAATCATCTTACAGACTCCAATCACATGGTTTCTATCTACTAACGTGATACAAAGCAACGACGAAATCATGGACTGACGCCTTGTTTTAGTTAACTGTCCTTGACTTGCATCCAACCTACAGTAGCGCTATCAAGCATCCCATTTCAATGTAGGGGGGTCGTTACACATACGCAGTACATGCTAGTCAGTAAAAATTCACTATGCTATCAACCGATTTGTCATCTTTACCTAATACTCTATTCCAAACTTTAGCACTGCTTACTTCAAAGAAAGACCTGTCTTCTACTTTCATAAACCCTATTTCAGAGCTACATAGTAATACTACTGCACTCTGTACTCTATTCTTAGCTGAAAGACATAGTTTTTTATTTCAACACAAAGTACCAAAGATCTTGACTGTTAATAATCTCCCTTATACAATGCATCTATCTTATTGCCCAGTATTCATAGAATACTGTTCAATGCTCAACTAGTCCCAAAAATAAGAACACGGCTTTTATAGGTAGATTATTATATTCTGAAAAGCCAAGCTGGATGTGGAAGAATCATGGCAGTAAAAGCGTTAGTATGTTTAGAATTTTTACTCAAGAATGTTTTTGAGTTTTCCCAAGCCAACCACCAGCGCTGATTGGGTAAGAATGGTCCAATCTGCGTGTCCCGACATAATCCTGCATTAGACGTCCTCTAATTCGACTTCCGAATTGACTTAAGATGGAGTCGGGGTCTAGAGGTTAACCATATTACTTCCGACCATATAGTTGCTAGTTCTTCTCCAGCTGCAGCTACTTCAGTGTGGATATCCGGGTACTATCAATAGCCGTTACACAAACATTGGCTAGAATTCAACTGTGCAGCCCTGTACTTTTTTAATGGGTTTCATATAATAATAAGTTTCAATTAGAGTGACGCGTTACTGTTACAAATCAAAAATCCTCTCTCTATAACATTCATAATTTAGAATTCATTGTCCAAATATATTGTCAGAGAGTTTAGTATGAATATTTAAAAAAATACTAATATTTATCTTTTTATGACAACTTAAGAATGTGTTGTTTTGTTGTAGATTCTATTAAATAAAGATCTTCGTGGGTTTTACGCTCTTGTAACAAATTCAGGCTGTGGTCTTGGTTTATCAATCGCTCTTCATCTCGTCCGACATGGAGCTACTGTTATATGCGCTTGTGTTAAATGTCCAGAAAATGCTATTCCCATATGTGCTGAAACGAAAGCATTTGGTAAAAACAATATCTTTGTAGATTCTATTATGAAGTCCAATAATAAAGATTCATGTCAGTTATATTGGATACCGTATAATCCTTTTGAACTATATAGTATCATTCAATCCGTTCACGTAAGTGGCCCCCAACTAATATCAATTAGCTCTTTATTTAATGAGAAATCCTCAGTTTTTAGGATTTCTCTGGTAGAAACTGTCTGGAATAATAGTTTTGCGTAGATAATGAATCAGCAATAATAGCTACTACTGGAAGTTTATTTCAGTCTACAACAGTGGCTTGATTACAAAATATCGGTACACTAAAAGAGTACCTCTAGATTTAATATCTTCATACAGATTTTCCGGGTATCCATTACAACAGTATTTTAATAGTGTTTAATAATATTCATCTTTAAAATACTGCAATCAAATTAAATCCCAAGGTATTTTTGTGAGGACATTTTACAATTTAAAAGTAAATTTTTTGAATAATCCACACCAACTACTAGTAAAGGAATAAAAGTCATTGTTAACTGGGAAGTAAGTTCGTTCATTTAACTAACTTCAAGATCCAATCCTGAATTTCCTTTGAGAACTCATGACGAAATTGAATTTGAAGAAGTAATTTGTACACCGCTACAAACCAACTAAAATTAAAACATAAACGATTCAATCAAAACCCTTTGGTCAGTAATACCATATTCTTCGTGAAACCGAATGGTGATGATTTAAGTTTCATGTTGATTCATGATAGTGCGCTAATCAGGAAGAACAGCTGTTCATTTTTTACTTCTCAAATTAAATCATATTTGTTCAGTTCTTTCAGTGAAATATTTCCCTTTTATCTGTAGATATTGCAGTCATTGAACTGGCCTCTCCATGCATGTATCATAACTGATGATCTATTTCCTTTTGCTCAATGGAATTTCCTCCAGCCTTTTACAAAGTAATTATTGTTGTCATTGTAGTCAATGTAGTGAATTTGTCAAGTCACAAAATTTTCAATCTCTAAGACACTATATTCATAACTCATTACAACCGGAAATTAGGATATAGTTTTTGGAATGTTGTTATTGGTTACTTACATGTGTTGTATCGTTCATAATCACTAGTTTTTTTATTTTGTGAATAATAGAGTAGATATTTCACTGTTAAAAAAAATACAACTACACCCAGATTGGTTTGATGGTCAATGAGGATGGTGTAGATTATAATGGATTAGAAGTCTGCTCTCCAAACAGCAGTGGTTTTGGTAATATACTTTAGTTGCGAAAAATGTATTTTTGTCATTGGTCTACGCTATATTATATATGCACCGACTATCATAACACTTTAACTTTGAATGATTGACAATGATAATTTGTGATGTAAACGGTTTATTTGGGTAATAATCTTCATTTTAAGCATATCGCTTATTGTAATTAAATTTATCTAATTCATGCTTTCGTTTTGTTTTTTTTTATTTTCATTATAGAATTGTGTCTTGTTTGAGTGCAATGTTTTCGTCCAAAATTTTATGCTGGTTTAAATCTATTTTCAAGTCTGTAAGAAATTATGAGATACAAGTGTTAAATTGGATTGGCAAAAAAGTACTTCCTTCATGGATTCCTGCTTATTCATGTGAATGTTCATATAAACATTTCTCATATTTAACTTCTGATGGATTTGAAATATCAATGCAATACAATTTTTTAGCTCCTGCATTGTTTTTAGATCGATTATTAAAAGCAAGGTTTATGAATCGTTCACCTATTTCGACTACTTCGTCGGGTAATACATTATTTGACGACTCAACTTTACGTATAGTGATAGTTTCATCAGAGATTCACAAGTAAGCTTCACATGAAATAATTTGTGTCTAATATTTATTTACAAGTAAAACTGATGAAAGGTTGTAATAGAATAATTTAACAACTGTTTGTACCAGCTTAGTTGTTTATTTCGTTATCAGTAAAGCATCTTCAACTCATCTGAGCAGTTAGCAGCAGGAAGTTTGCTGTGATTGAAAAAAACTTTGAATTCGACGGAACACCAACCAGTAACGTCCAACAATATCTTGGATGATGGACAGTGTTTTTCTCAGAACAGTATTGTCAGCCTACTGATTCAGCAAATTTAGTTAAACTAACCCGTCTTCTATGGCTGATGACGATTGGTCCGTCCAACAAGGTGGATACAAATAAGGAACTTCAACTTTTAAATCGTAAAACATCGGATCCAGAAGGCTTGCCTCTCTCTATTTTTAACAAAGTGACAAGCTTCTAATCAGAGAACTAACAGGGTTATTCGAAAAAGGTTTGAGAATTATAGAGTACGCCAACGTCGTAGAATGAAGCGATCATTGTCCCTCATCTTTAAAAGTGGCATACTTCATCTATGTAACAACTATGTGGAGATAAGTTTAAATTAATGGCCTTCATAATACCCTACAGATTGTTAGAACCCATTGTAAGATGGACTTTTGAGGAGCAGGTGGGTTTTCGTTCTGGTCATGGGTGTATTGATTCTATGTTCACACTCGACCAGATGTTAGAAAACTTCCATACATTATGCTGTTTGATTTCAAGGTCGCCTTCGGTATATTGGGTAGGGTTGTACTCTGGAATTGTGTACTGAAGAATGGTGTGGTTGATCAGTTTATGGACTTCTCAAAGGCTCTATATACAAGGTAGAGTGGGGGCATACAAGCTCCTCTTTCGATTGTTTTATTCCAGAAGTAAAATTAGGAAGGGTTGCCAAATTTCAACGTTCCTTCTAAACTTTGGTATCAATTACATTCTAGAAGCAGCTCTAATGGAAGTAAGTATTACTGATACACATCTCTTACCTGGTTTAAGGTCTTTCGATCTTCCATACGAATTATGTCTTATTATACGATGATGCTTAAGCTATCTAGGTCATTCTTAGTCATAACATAAACATTTCACCTAACTGAAAGTGCTTCAACAAAATTTGTAGAAACCCATATCTTTCCATTCTCTTTGTGGCGGTGCGTTGTTAGTAGTCGGAAAGTCCATGTATCTGGGTAACGGTGTGAAAAATGAGATCACTCTATGTATAGTGAAAGCCACAAGGCCTATACACCAACATGAGCCATCTTTGGTGACTACAATTTTGCTCGATGTTTGTGAAACCTGATCTCTGAGTTGAGGATATTAAGTAACTTTTTGTATTCTATCAACGTTGTCTTCAAAGGATCACTAAAAGCCATTGGCAACAGTATGTTAGTAATTCTGAAATTCGACAGTGTCTAATTTATTCATTGTTACCATCTTGTGACGCTGGCTTCAGTGGCTTGTAGATATTTTATAAACATCATCCTAACAGCTTCCATTATACACATTAACTGGCAGTAATGGGACTAGACAGGAAAGAGAAAATACGGTTGGCATATAACATGGCATTGTGATATTAAAGAAAAATGTACAGGACCAGCATCTTTCATGTTAACATCACTTCGCAGTTATGATCCTAGAGATAGTGCAGCTTAGTGGTTTTATAAGTCAGATACAGTTCAGAATTTAAACCAGTAGCGATCATACCCGAAAAGAAATGGGAAATCGCCGTTGACTGATTATACTGTGGATTCCTTCACAGTCTTCGAAAAGTTAGGAGGAACTCTTAATTAGAATAATTCTTTCTGGTTATATTTTTATCTGAACTGTTTTCCTCATTTTACTGCTATCATTCTTTGTTTATGACTGTACTCATCCTTCTTCCTTCCTTCTATCTCTTCATAATTTCATTTACATATTTGTGTAGCGTTTATTTATTATTGTGCCGATTTGTACCAGTATTAATGCTCTAATAATAAATAATTATTGTTATCTCGGAAACTACTTTGGATCGGTGTATTTATTTTATGAGCCCTTGTAATTCGGATTGTACACATGTGATACTCGTGAAAATTAACCTTCATGTTGTGTTAAGTCGTTCCTTTGGCTTTACTGATTTAAATGCAGAATCACTTGTGATTAATGGTAATAAAAATTAATCTTGAACTGTATATTTATCAAAATGATGAATTAGTGTTGTTGGTGAAAAACTTATAAGTATTCAGGTGTAGTTTCCTTCTTAACATCATTGACCGATTCTACGATAGTGATTATTTAAGTCAAATGATAAATATAGTGGTTATTTAAAATATAGAATGGCGTTGGGTCATACATTGTTCGAAAATATCAAAAGGAGGTTGTCTAATGATGCTAATGAGCAATAGGACGCGTAAAGGACACCGATAAAAAAACCTCATAGGTTTCTACTTAGTGATAACATAGTTAAGAATATATTTCAGGAGAAACTATAAAAACAATTTGGCGGCCGTTTTAGTGATTCTCATCCCAAGGAAGCTTGGAACGATATCCGAAAAGAGCGAGCTAAAAGCAGCGATATCCGCTAGTAACGTAAACCATAAAGTAAGGAAAAAGCCGTGGATATCGGTAGTATCTACCGAACTGATTAACGCTCGGGAACTCATTCCACCTGGTTCCGAACCTAACAAAGAGTGGAGTCAGTTCCGCGAAGGATGATGAGAAGCCGACGCAGTGATCACGAATAGTGGTGGGTAGCGAAAGCAAAAGATGGAAAAAACAACGGTGATAGGTAACATTAGACGACTATTAACACTTATCAAGGAATCCGGTATTAGGAGTCCGACTGTAAGTGAGACTATTTCGCAAAAGGATGAGCTTATTATTCATTCTCAATGCAGGAGATCAGGTCGATAGGCAGAATACTTAAGGGATCAATTCAACTGGCCTTCAGCCAGATTACAGTCAGTCTGACTGGCAAGCGGACTTAAGTTTTCCAACTCTTAATAAGGTTGAGAAAGCTATAAAAAATCTAAAACGAAAGAAAGCTGCGTGCCCGGATAGATTGACCCCTGAAATTTGTTAAGGATGATGTTCCAGTTTTAGCAGTTAAATTGACTGAGAGCTTAGGTAGAATATGGGAACTGGGAGTAATCCCATCTGACCGGTCTCATTCCGTGACCGTCCCAATTCGTAAAAATGGACAAAAGTCCTCTTGTGACAATCACTTACTTAATTACTTACTCCTGTTACCCTAAATGGAGCATATGCCGCCGATCAGTATTCTCCAACCTACTTGCGTAACTTATGGCGTAGGCGAGATATCCGTCTGCTAAGCAAAGGACGAATGTAGCAAATGCATTCATTCTTTATCGTCCTGCTGATTCCAAGCTTCTAAATTCCACATAATTCTCTTCATTTTACTAACGTATATTCTCTTGAAACTTGTCTGTGATGCCTAATCTTTCCTATTACTGCTTATACGTTTACTGTCTCTACTATTTTGGGATTTGGCCTGACAATTTCATCTCTCTTTGTTAATAGGGTATGACACTTTAAATTGAAATAAATACCTAGAAAGGTTCTACGTTGCGTCTGACTGAGTGAATGACACCAGTATTATTTTTTCTTAAGTTTCTAAATTACCAAAGTCATCTATAATATATGTTTACTATCCCTAGTGTAGGTTTTCTAATGCTTTCGGACTTTTATTTCTGTTCAGAATTCAAGGATGAGAAACTTCTATGGACTAGAAAGTCGGTGTATAATCTTTAAGGTACATAACTTATCAGTCATTTCATATTAAATCATTTGTCGTAATATCGGTAACTTTATTTTCGCACCTAGTATTGTTTTTAAGTTTTTTCTCTATCTTGTGACGCCTGATTGTTTGTTCTTTAATGTCTTGAACCGAATTTTTCTATTTAGAGAGGGCAATTTGCAACACTGTATTAAAAAACTGAATATTTCGAAGATGTTTCAAACAATTCCAAGATCTTCATATGATTCGATGAGACAATATGCAAATTCCAAATTATGTATGTTATTATTTATTCGTGAATATCAACAACGTATTCGTCAGCATAATGAAATGAACACGTTTTCAGTCACTACACCTACAATGTTGGCTTGTACTGGATGTGACCCGTTTAGTGTGTATTGTATTAAACAATTTTTTATGAATCTTTGCTGTCTGTCTATCAAAAACCCATTTCTTTTAGTGCTACAAATAGTATATCTTTTATCAAGACCATTCGGTATGTCTTTGGTAAGTCGAAAACTCGTTAACTTCTAATTAACTCCTTACATTGCAGTTTTATATTTAAGTAGATAATAAAATAAATGCACATATTGGTTCACATGACTAGTTAGTCTTATAAATTCTGTTCGTTTTCACGTTCTCATTGATTCTAGATTAAACGACTGCAGTTTGTAATACACCGGACGCATTGTCAGTGCATGTGGGTGTGGTTTTATTTACAAAACAAATCAGCTGACTTAATGACCTAAAATCTAGTTTGAATACTTGGATTTCTCTCTATTCATGTATCGGTAGTCGAGAATCATGCCAAGATGGAATAGCGTAATATTCAATTAGCCTTCAGATAGTAATTGCGACGATGAACACTTGAACTTGAAAAAATAGAAAATAGCTTTTGTAACTTTGCGGACCCTAATTTGGGTTTCTTTGTCAGTCGAAATATTAAATCAAAAACCTCGTAGTAGACATCAACCTAATCCGGAGATTAAACGTTTCGACGAACATTGAGAATCATTCGAAGATTGGTTTTAGGGAATAAAATATTTGCTGTGCGATTTGATACTTGAATAAATTATACATTTCGATTTGAACTGTGACACCATAACAAGCCAATATTAAGTTATCAATCAAACCTCTTCGTCAACCTAGGATAGGAAATTTATTTTAAATTGAACTATATCTCTCTTTCTCAATTTATTCCACCGAATTATACTTCTTGAATAGTTTCTTCGAACCCTAATCTTCTCCATTACCGCCAATAATTCTACTATCTCTACCACTATGGGATTTGAACTGACAGTTGGGTCTCTATGCTAATGTTTTATGGCAACCTGAACTTATGTACGTCCGTACAAAATTGTACGTTGTAATTAACTGACTGACACTCAACTATCAGGATACAATCTGACTCAGTTATTAATGTGTACTCCTGCTGTTTAAGCAATACAACTAATTAAGTAAAGGAAAACTGCTCAAGAAACTTCTATTTCCGTATGTGTGAATACGCAGTGCGGCTGAGGCATTTTTACGTGTCGTCATAATCATTTAGCATAAGTGGGGTTATCGACCTTGGAGAATAAGTTGATTACTTATTATGTGTTATCCATGTTGTGAATCGACCTACCTACCATACAACTTTGGATTATGATGTATTTTCACACATTCGGTTTTCCATTCTATTACTACTCCATATATTGTAATAGTTGTAGAACATAAATAGACGCAAAATATAATTCAGTTTCCCTATAAATATTTTGTTCTTTTGTCTTGCCTTTGTGTATACCTTTGTTAGGATCAGGTGATTGCTAATCCTTTACTTTGTGCTGTGCACAGAGTCACAACTTTAGAACAATTAGTAACTGGTCATTCTAAACAGATGTCGTATTTCGATAAGTGCCAACCTTCCACCACATTATTAGATGATCTACGAGTTTTTGAATTGGACTTTTTATCCAAAACTATATTTACCAATACTGTAACTATTTTTCGTGAATATGAATAATAAAAATGTAAACACTTAAAATTGAGATGATATTTTTTACTCTTCCATACTCGTGTGTACGTAATATCGTGAATATTGAGGCTACTAGTTAACGTACCTTGACAATTTACAGTTGAAAGTCACTTGGTTTTTATTGCTTTTAATTATCGTGTATTGTTAATTGCCGTTAATTGTCGTCGTTTGAATGATACTAATACTATTTTGATGCAGTTCGTCGATTTTACGGAGTCCTAATTATTTTCATAATGTATTGATATCAGGTCCCAGACTTGGAAAGCATTTGTAGTGTCGATTTCGAGGTGTTCTTAAATTTCGTAATAAGTTCATTCAGACTATCGTTACTAAATGACGTCTGACGGTTAATAAATCAGAAGATGAATTCGAAGTATCGTATGCGTTTATTGTGGTACACCACAAATAAGGATAGCAGACCACAGACAGACTAGCGAGCGAATATGCGAATGGGCGAATGAATTGATAAGATTAAAATGTTCGTATATATACAAAGGAAAATGTCTGAGTCATCGTGCTATTTAAGAGATTAATACTAAACCGAATAGGATGCATATGCGCGTAGGCGTTAAGCGATGCTCAGTCATACCAGCTCATACAAACCATACAATTATAAAAGCCAATGGTACATACAAGTTGTTGCTACGCGAATGGCTTGGTTAAAGAAATTAATCGAAAGGGCTTAAGCAAATTAAATGCAAGCGGATGCAAATAAATGTGGAGGCACTACACATTGAAAATTTGTTTCGTAGACAGTTCAAGCCCATGACATTCAAATCTATTGCGCAAGTAATTTTCAATACCAAATTAACTATGATTGATGTTGACTCCTTAAAAGTCCATAACTAGGTTCAATTAGTAGATTAACTAGCATATTATTCAACTATATAAGCATGAAAGTTTGATCCCCAATCAGATAATGGTTGCATAAAGCAAACCATTTTATTCCATTTTATTTTTGACGTTTATTTTCTAGACAATATCAGATTTGTTTTCATTCGATCCAAAACAATAAAACCTTTACTTACTTACTTATTTACTTACTTATTTACGCCTGTTACCCCCAATGTAGCATAGGCCGCCCACCAGTTTTCTCCAACCAACTCTGTCCTGGGCTTCCCTCTCCAGTTCTGTCCAATGTTTGTTCATTCCTCTCATGTCTTTCTCTATTTCTCGACGTAATGTGTTCCTTGGCCTTCCTCTTTTCCTTTGACCTTGAGGGTTCCATTTGAGGGCTTGTCTTGTGACGCAGTTAGGTGCTTTTCATAAATTGCCTAGTTATCTTAATCACTTGTATTATCAAAGTTATAAAATGTCGCGGTAAATTGCTGATGAGGTGTGCTTGCGTGAAGCATATATGACATTTAAAAAGCAAAAATCTAAAGTGAGACGTGAATCACTAAAATTCACAAAATATTTTGTCTATTGTTAAATTTCATCAGAGGAATTCTTAACTGTTTTGTAATGTCAAAAGCTTCAGGTGTCGCCTCTTGGAACGACAGACTTCGTTATTCATATTTGGTGATGATAATGATGAAAAAAAAAAGGTGCTCCCTCCATTCATAATATGATGCTAAAGAATGAGACCTGGTATGTTTGGTATAGTCTTGAAATCACTGTCACTTCAAATTCGGTCATAGAATCACAGTCCCAGTTACCTGAAAATACTCAGGTTTAAAACATTCAGTTGTTTCACACTAATCAGCCGAGTATACGATACATGCACTTGGTTGACCTTTATAAATCAAGTGCCAAACAATCTTACGAGAAATATTGGCGTTTTCAGTTCTTGGGAACGAATCACATCATCATAGATCCATTCGCTCAACGGATGCTCAAATTAAATAGGTAATGAAAAGAAGTATTCTGGACTTTATTCCAATCACTCAATTGTATTCTGTGGATGGAATGAAACAGGATTTTCATGAAAACTGAAGAACATTTGAAGGTAGTTGAAAGTACCTTATTGTCACTAAAGTATCCCATCTCACCTTGTGGTAGTACGAAGTTCAAAAACGGCCTCAGAATCAGGTGTTGATTCATTGGAGAATGAATGAATTCACAGTTGATTTTCTTTGGTCACTTTTGACATTTCAGTGTTTGTTTTGTGTTGATATTTAGTTTACAAGCATCTCATTTTATTTCTTAAAAAAACTTCTTCTTAGCAAAGTTGTTTTTCATTTCAAATCATTCGACATTTTGGGTTTAGCCGTTCTTACGAGCAGCTATCAATCAACTACTGTGTCATTGCATGTCTCGTATCTACCAATATTCTCTTCCGTTTATCATAGCAAGTGAAAATTCCTCTCCCGACCCATAACAACTTATAGCTCCCACTAGTGTATTAAATTATCTCATTGGCAACTGTGTCAAGTTTGGTTAGTCATTTAAGTTAAATATTTAAAATGCACAGCTCCTATTGCTGTTATTAAACCTAATTTTCATTTGGGTAGTCCTGGATAAAATCTCCACGTTCTTGAATGTTGCGACTTGATCATGAAAGATAAAAAATGCTTTATTTGTGACTTGCGAGTTACTATTAAGTGAAACTAGGTCAGTTCCATCCTTTCTAAACGATTTTAGGTCACTGATTGGTCGAAATTTGAATGCTATCAACCGGATAGGAATTCTGGATCAGCCTTCTCAAAACCACGTATATCATTCAAACTGGCCTTTTCCAAAGTTCGCATACTATTACCGGTCGGACAACAGATAGGGTTGCATATGTTTTTAACAAATCTGGACATCGATGTCTCTTGCCTATCCTAGACCCGTATGCAGGACTCTGGTGAATAAATACACATTCGCTATTCGTCTAACACTTGGAAAATCCTGTTTCGTGTGCGTTTATGCGGAGACCCTGTGTCATCTTCGTCCGGTCTTGTTGGTGTCGCACTAAGCGCCAGAGCTGAAGTAGCGCTAATCGATTAAATCTTCAGTAACAGTTATGCCTAGTATAATGATAGTCAATAATTTGGAAGCAGTTGGAAGTAGATTTATCGCCCGATAGTTGTTTCATAAATGACATGAATCTTTCTTAAAGATATGGACAGCTACTAAATTAGTTCACGATGTTGGAACACTCTCCTATTGCCGAACAGTTTTAAAAATTAAGTCAGTGGACCACAGTCATCTTTTGAAACGGTCGGAAATATGTCCTATGATCCTCCCGACCGTAGCTAATACCTTTGACGTGGTGTTCGGGCTTGCCTATCGTGATGATCCAACCGAGCTATATTGGCTGGAACATATGTTCCTGAAGGTTCTACCACGCCAGGCAGGCCGATTGGAGAACGAAGAGACTAAAAGCAGCTACTCCAGGTCTGAAGGCGAAGTCGTACTGCTGACTGCCGAGGGGTGTGACAGCAATGAGGTGTTTCTCTCTGACAACCATCATCTAAAGCCATGCAGCCTTCTCACAAGGAAGGAAGGGTTAGAAAAGGTCGACCCTAAAAATGTCACACCTCACCCTACCTCAGGGATTTCCGTCTCCGGCGGTAAGGGTGCCCACTAAGGGCTTTCAAGAGCGGAGCTAACACTCGAAAAACCTTCCATAAAAAGGCCGTGCGTGACCGGCCTTAAGCAGTTGTCCCTTGGGCTCTGCGGTCACGCTCCCAGGTCTCCAAGACCAACACTAATCTATCTACCTTTTCAGGTCACTCGAGAAACAACCTTCCACGGTATGAGCAGCCGGGAAGTGATAACCGCCCTCATACCCGTAACAGCACGGGAGACCAAATCGGTTGAAATCAAGTCCTTCCTACACCCCCTAGTACCTCTCTTATCTCCACGACTAACTCTTCGTGTATCTGGAAGTCCTGATGCTGCTTCCCGGGGTCTTGCTGGCGTAGGCATAGGATTGATTCGTAGGGCAGAACAATCTCTCCTTGACTGGATCCCAGTAGATAGTCGCTTGTGTGCTGTCCGACTAAACGGGACAGTAAGGACTCGTAAGGATAGGGACACTCGCCGTTGCCTCTTCGTCGTATCTGCCTATGCCCCCACTGACTGCAATTCAGACGGGGTAAAGATGAGTTTTACCGAAAGCTTTCGGACCTCCTCCTAAAAGCTAGGCGCTCTGATATAGTATTAATGGCTGGTGACTTTAATGCTCAAGTAGGTAGACTGAGTGAAAATGAAAGACACGTAGGTGGATGTTATGGTGTTGCGGCTCAGAGAACAGACAATGGTGACCGTCTGTTGCAAGTATGCTCAGACAACCGCCTATTCTTAGCAAACACTAACTTTAGGCATAAGGAAAAGCATCTGTTGACCTGGCGACCTCCAAAGTCGTCTCAACGTTGGACTCAACTAGATCACATTGCCATCAGACACCGATAGAGGGGTTCGATAGAGGACTGTCGCTCGTTCTGGAGCACATGTTTAGATTCAGATCATGCTCTAGTGCGAGCGCGTATTTGTTTGAAGCTTACTGGGCGTAGAAAAGACACAGTAAGAAAGCCTCTTAGGGTTTTACTTAATCATAATAGGGCGAAGAATATATTTCAGGAACAACTAGAAAGACAGTTAGGCGACCATCTAAGCGATTCCCATCCGGAGGCAGGTTGGAATGATATCAAGAAGGCTGTGGAAACAGCAGTTATATCTGCTAGTAAGGTTGACCATAAGGCTAGAATGAAGCCGTGGATCTCAGTAGCATCCACCGATCTGATGGATGTCCGAAAACTCATCCCACCTGGCTCTAAACATGATGAAGAACGAAGTCAACTTAGGCGCAGACTTATAAAAAGCCTACGTAACGATCGCGAACAGTGGTGGGTGGAGAAAGGGAGAGAGATGGAAAGGGCAGCGGCGATAGGCAACAGTAAAGAACTTTTCCGCCTTACAAAGGAAACCGGTATTAGGAACCCATCTGTTAGCGAAACTATCGCATAAAAGGATGGTTGTATCATTCTTTCTCAATCCAGGAGATTGGATTGATGGGCAGAACAGTTCAACTGACCTTCAGCCACACTTCGGTTACCCAC